TTATTGTACTTAACTTTTGTTTTTGTGGGAGGGTCTATTTTTAACCAAACGTACACGTGTCCTTTATGCATTTATTGTGCTTTCATATAGAGTGACTCCAAAACAAAAAATTAGAATTTTCGGTCATCAGTTGAAAAAAGATTGCGTCAACAGTTGTTATTCTAATTTGTGCTGAATTTTTGAAAAATCTAAATAAAAGCACAAATTGGTGAAAATTTTGAATTAAAATAAATAAAAAAATGTACACCTGGATTGATATTAGGAAACGCATTGACCAGAAACTATTTTTGTTTACCTAAACTTATCTTTATTTATATTTTAATGTTCTTAATTACATTTATTGTAATCAATAAACATGATTTAGAACTTTATTATAATAGTGAGTATTTTTTACAGTGCCCAGAATAGTAGTTGCTGCTATTTATAAACATCTCAAAGAAACAATGAAGGTGGGTTGTCCGTCCGTATATTGTTTACTTCTTAATGCTGAAATTTAATTTACAAAAACACACAAGATTTTTTTCTTCATTAAAGGGGAACCGCTCAATCTCATGGATAGCACCAAGTGCTTATGGGTAATTAACTCCGCCTCTGTCCACTAAGTAAATGAATGCTTATTATGCTTGCTTACTCAAACTGTGATTGACAGGTATTTTGCATACATTAGCCGCCATTTTAAACTCATGATTTTTACTTGTCGCGGCACGTTTCGACCGAAAACAACAATGTTTATACATAAAAAGCCAAACCCCTAGCGTACATATTCAGGCACCCGTAGAAATGTATTTGGAATCACAGCTTGATCTCTAAACATCGTAAATGGCACATTTCCCGGAGCTCCCACCACGATGTGAGCGGCTTGGTTCGGATTAGCATACTAATTGCGGTGGCCATCTTGCCCTTATTTATAGTATCGGTTCCCCTTTGCTGAAATGTGAGTATGCAGTAACCGACTAGGTACATGTACGATTTTTTTTGTTGGGTGACAGGGATGAACAAAGAGAGGGATGTGACATTCGCTTAGATTTTTTTATATTAATACTGGCAATCTAGTTTGACGCTGTCACATCGTCTTGACAGTTATTATGTACTGGGTTTTTCTTTTTCTAGTTATTATGGAGTAAAGACGTACGCATGAACACTGTACATGTAGTGGACGTCTGTCGTGCAATATGGCATCTTACAATGAATGGGAAACGAGGTGACATTTACAATGTAGTCGACAACTCCAGTTCGAGTAAGTTTTACAATATTTTTCTTTTGACCCAGTTAGGGGGCTCTGTTAATCTTACTGGTACAGTTAGGGAGTTTTAGTTCATATCTGCTGTAGTTATGTACTTGTATACAATTACCGGTACACAAAATAATCTTAACGCTTAAGGTTTTTAGTTTGCGTTCAGACAGAATGAACCGTGACTATTAGTTTGGTTTCTGTCTGTATGTCTGTCCAGAGATGCGAAACTGTCATTTTAGGTAGCCTAAAATTCATGGCAGTAATGCCTCATATACATGTATGTAAACCTTGAATAATAAATATATATAAAAAAGACTGTTTGACTGAGGCATATTTTATATTATTATACATCTGTCACCGTAACGCCATAAGTTGCACCGTGCCGTAATTTTGCGGTATTTTACAGGATATTTTCATTCTACCATATTAGGAAATGCGAATTCCAAATATCGAATCATTACGCGCGTAAGCGTCCTCTAATAATAAAAACAAACATGGCTGCCACCAGGATTTGATCGGACTCCACACAAAGAAGTTTGCTGTTCTAAACTTTTTGGATTTCGGCATTCCCATGATGTATCCTTGGAAGTAAAAGATGTATAATAATAAGGTTATTACGAGGATACTTCAAAGTATGCACTCAGACAGTACGCCGTCGCATCGACCTCCAATGCACGTCAGTCGATACTCCCGCTGTATTATCTTTGTGCATACTTTGAGGTATCCTCGTAATAACCTCATATTATGTTGAGTAATAGACAGATTGTTTGAGGTATATTGCAGTTTAGGGATGTTGTAGACTGCATGTACACAAAGAATGTAGTGTAGTTTTATATTCTACACCAATTTTGCAAAAACACAGTAATGCTTCACTAAAAAGACAATTTTTTATTCAGATCCTATTTCTGATTGTTCCTTTGCCCAATTGATATTACTGTAAAATCTGTAGTAGAAGCTGCATCCCAAATAGAAGTCACACAAATTCACAATTGAGTCCCGAAAAATCACCATTTCTCGTATGTGTAGATGCTGTAATAGAAGTCGCATTCTTTTAATAAAAGTTTCTAATATAGATTTTACATTAAGCACCACAAAATTTTACTTTCATTATCGTAATCCATGTTAATATCCATGTGGTCTTGATTTTTCATTAGATTGTTACAATAACAGTTTATAAGCAGTTTAAAAGTGCTATATTTTTCATGTTACATAGTATTTGATATGTGTCACATGTGACAAATAGAACATTTCTAAAACACAGTCTTAATAGTTTGCCACAAATTCAAACACTCGCTGCACTACAACTTTGGCATTTCAAACAAGTTTTTGCTCCACACAATCTCTTCAATGTATATATAAAAAATAATAATAGGAATAAAATCTGAATATTATGTAATCTTGATTTCATCTTGTTTGACATATCCCATAATAGTGAGATGGAAACGACAAATGTCTATCACAGTCGTTACAAACAAGATGAGAGTTATTTCAAACCACCCATTAAAGCAATTAACAAAGTCAGTGCTCGTCTCAATATACTGATGAAAAAAAGCTAAGTTTTAATATCTTCAATTTGTCCCGCATAAAGTATGCGCTTTTGGTAATAAGTGCAAGACAACGATCAGTTTCTGATGCTTTCTCACAGTTCGTGAGACTTGCTATTATTCTCACAGATATTTTGAGCGCTTCATTGGCGATGGTATAAAATTTTCACCAATTTGTCGGTGAGGTTCAAAATTCTTACTTTTCCCATATTAATCCGAAATTCTCGTCATGTTGAGTATCTCTAAACAGTGTCAATTTTTGCGCAGTAATCACTTTTTTTCCCGCCAAAAGTGACAGTTTCTCGCTACGTCTCACAATTTTTTACCATGACATTTGAGTGATACAGAGTTGGCTTTCTCTCATATGTTGACCTTCATATTGCATATCTTTCGTAGATGTATGATAGATGTTGCCTGCCCTTCATTTTATCTACCCTTAAAGTGAAACTGTTTGAAGCTGATTACTAACCTCATTCCTCAAACACTTTTACGCATCTATTCCCACAATCCACCACAGCTATTCTACCATCATTGCACACTGCTACGCCGCATGGCCTAATCAACCCATCACTATCATCATCAATCCTACAAATAAACTGACCATAGGTCTCGTGCTTAGTGACCTGATTCAAACTACTCACGTACACATAGTCATTCCTATCCACAGCCACTCCACTGGGAGTAATCATCTCGTTGTCACCAAGGGAAGAGAATTCAAAAATAAACTGTTCATCAGAATCAAATACCTCGACACAGTGGTTGCCAAAATTAACCACATATAGCAATCCATCACTGTTAATAGCTAACATATAAAGTTTGTTGTTTATACCTTTCCTAAATGTCTTTATATATACACCATCTTTGGTATACTTTCTAATACAACCCTCACTAAACTCACTCACATAAATATGCTTAGTAGCAGGATTAATTGCAATTCCACATGGATTATCAAGTTCACTGCTTCCAAACTTTCTAATCAACTTTCCGTATTCATCACTCACAACAACTTGTTTGTTCCTATCATCCAACATAAAGTATTCATTATCATCTGATATTACTACATCACATGGTTTGAATGGCTCTGCAAACTGATCAGTGAATGTAAATGACTGTTTGTAATTTCCTTCTCTGTCATGGATGGTCACTCTGTTGTTCCCTTTATCAGCTGTCACAAAGTCACTGTGTTTATTTACAGTTATTCCCCAAGCATCAGCACTGAGCTGTCCTTCACTTTCTGCTTTTCCCACTGTCTGTAGCCACCCACTGCTTGGTACAGAAATATGAAATGGTGATCCTGATATATGTTGGTTACCAATCGTCATGGCAACTTGATGTTTTTCTACCATTTTTCCTGTTATCATCACATTACAAGTCCCATCATTATTGTCAGTAACATCAATGTCTTCCTGTGGTGCATCAGGGTTCATTGTCTTTACTGTGATACCTTGACGAGGAATGATTTGTTTTTCTCTGGAATCTCTGGTTGTGATGAGCAGGTTGGCAGATTCACCCTTCAGAAGTTGTTTTGGGAGGTTTTCAACTGTGCATTTGGATGGACAGGCATCAGTTTTGATAACCCCCATCAATGTATGCCTGGCAAGGTCACTTCCTGGATGGAACTCAGTGATATTGTCACTGATTGGTGGTTTGGTTTCCATAGCAACCATCTCTTTTATGTGGCTCATAGTTTCAAGCTTGGTAGATAGTAAATGAATGGCATTCCCATGATGCACTAGTGTGTTTAGATAATGATGTGTGCTGACTATGTTGCCATGGTGAAATTCCTTCTCATCAATGTTCATTGCTGCAGCTTTTAATTCCATCGTAGCACTTTCATCCAAGGCATCTATCAGCATCTTCTCTTCTCTTTTTACTCTTTCTATCACTTCCTGTGCTCTTCTCATAACTTTAACTTTCTCTGCCGCACACTGGTTTTGGATTTCTTCTCTTGTCGCCACAGCTGTTGCTTTTTCTTCCTCCATCTGCTTTTCTTTCACTTTCAACTGTCCTAGCATTTCTCTCAGTTGTGTTTTATACTCATCTGCTACCTCCTGCAAGTCTCTATGGACGTGTTCAGGAACTCTGTGGTTAACTATGGTGCATTTCAAGCATACAGGCACCTGGCATGTGTCGCAGTAGAATTCTAAGTAGGTATCTTTATGATCACTACAGAAAACTTTGGACTGTACCATGAGATAACACCTAGATTCTTTCTCTTTGTACTCATCAATTGTCAGCACTTCATGAGAGCGGAGTGCTGGAATGCGTCCATGAATGGTAACACATACATCACAGCAAAATTGTGGACAGTCTACACACCTGTGAGTTGCAGTCTTCTCTTGGCATATCTCGCATGTCAGTGAATGCTGGTCTGTACTCAGCAGCTTCTGTCTCTGGAACCTGTCCAGTAGGCTTGAAATAAAAAAGTTGGACTTTAGTTCCTGGATTGGGGTGTCGCACTGAATTTTGCATGTTTTACAGCTCAAAACCCCTCCTGAATCATCTTTAAAATCCACCAAACATTTTTGACAGAAGGTATGAAGACATGGTAGTAATTTGGGATCTTTCAAGATCTCTAAACAAATGGAACAGCTGAGGAAAACCTCACTGTTTTCATCTCTAAGTGACATGGATGTGACAGCTGATTCGGCCATGGTAGACAAGTGTTTTAACTGTTGCGAAAAACTAAGCTACTTAGGAAACTGTGAATTTGTAATATGTATTTCCTTGTGAAATTTATTTAAAAAAATGTATATATTAAATGTAAATATTATACTTGTGGGCTAGTACAAATGAAATCCATATTGTTCAATATTAAATATGTCAGATGAAAAATGTAGTCAGATGAAAAATCAAGTTTAATACTTTACAAATTCCCCCCAGCATAAGGGGTACTGTGTATCCAAGCATTGTTAACTGTATTTCCTTCTACTTTTGGATTGATGCCAAATGGGTTGTATCACTGACTTATAAATCAACTTATAAATTTTAACAACATACTTCAGACATTTATTTTATTTGCTCTATCTATAAATATAAGAAATGTTCAATTTTTAGTTCTCAATTTTTCAAAAAGTATGGGTACAGCTTCTATTAGGGATGAGACTTCTAATGCAGATTTTATGGTAATCTGAAATATTTATAAAAGTCTGATGCAAAACCCAGTGCTGTTAGACATTACCGGATTGGTGGCCCTGGTTGTTAAGTTTGTGGATGGACCAATCAGAGCCAGTGTTGTAAACCATTTTTTATTTATAATGTTTTGGTGTTATGAGAATCTTTAATTGTGGCAGCCATGTCTACTGACATGTTGAGGGACAGCAACTACTGGAAAAGCGTCTTTTCTGATATTTATAAGGCACCCTATTCCTAATTTCTGTTTTGCTGTTGTGTTTTTAGTAATTTTCAACTTTTTGTTATGAGCTGGTTCTCAAAATAAAAACTGTTATTATATATTATTATTATTATTCAGCTCAAGGAACTATATCAGATATTATATCAAGGATATTTGAAATAAAACACGACTATCTTGGATCTATTGTATCTAATATAGCGAAGGTTAGTATCCCTCAATTTTGTAGCTTGTCTACCCTATAGGTAAGATGGAATCATCCATGTCTATCATATTGGAATATGACTTCAGAGCATATTTCGTTTCTAGTATCATATACAATTCTTTCAGGCATCACTGTATTGAACTCCTTAGTATAATCATAATTACCCTTCCATAGAATACTGTATTGGACTGCCTAGTTCAATCATATTTAATCTATTAAAGAGCACTGTATTGGACTCCCGAGCATAAACATATTTAATTTTCCAGAAATCATTGTATTGGACTCCTTAGTATAAGCATATTAAATTTTCTAGAAAGCATTTTATTGAATTCTCTAGTACAATAATATTCAACTTC